TACATATACCCATTGACCACATGGTGCAATCAGAGCAAACTTGATCAGTAAGAAAAAAAAATGTTACCAAGGAATTTAATTGCGCCTGATGCCGGCTCTCGCTGATAGGCGCTTTTGCATATATATCACCATAACTGGACGAGTTGATGATGGATTTCCAGTACTAGTTTGCATGTGGAGTGCGTGGCAAAACTGATTGGCCTTGCTTACACATATTTCAAAAGGAGCAAATTTTAGAGTGTTACACCATGTCTGCACGCTTTCTGTTATTATTGTACTACAAAAGATTTCATGACCACATGTTCAGTTCATTATAAAATCCAGGACCTCAGGTCCATTACTTGAACAAATATGCATAGGCCCATTACTTAAAAAAAATTATGCAGTGAAGAAATATATACATGCCCAAGACTGGTCTCCAATTATCATGATTTGGCAGTATGTCGTGGTTAGGCCTTTATGGACAGCCTGCGTGTCACCAGGAATGATCGATTGCCGGGGTAAAAGCAATGGAGCAAACAGAGTATGTGTATTCTGTGCTAGATACAGGTGAGCTTCGTTTACCCATGGGATCTGACTCCTACTGGCCACTGCAAGCTAGGACCATGCGGCTCTGCCATAAGCAGGGATCCCTGCATGCAACATTAATTATTACACTATCAATGCATAAAGATACTTGAAAATACTAGAGTGCACAGGAATTCTTTCCTTTAAGGTTTACGACCGACTCTTACCCTTACGCGGCAGAGCTCCTGCCTTTTATTTAAAAAAAATACTAGAGTGCATAGTAAGGGGTACCACGTAAAGTAGTACGGCTGCACATGTAGGTGCACTGCCTTTGAGCCAAAAGAAATATTAATTACCTCAATATCTACGTGATTTATTTCTAATAATATAATTGACATAATGACCTATATATGCACCAGCGCGTACCCCTATTTATATATGACCAATCACTGCACTGTACTGGGTATATATCTCGTTAGCATATTCTAACTCGACCCATCTCAGTAGCACAATAGTCAAGCGCTGGTAGCAAGCATCCTTCAGTAAAATTTTAATTTACAGTCTACTCCCCCTGTAAATATGTTCAGGACAAAAGCTAATAATTCAGTTCATTTTTGGACTAATTAGTTTATTCAAAATGTTAAAAAGGAGGTCATATCAATCCGACAACTCAGCAGCAATTGTTACGACCAACAATGGTCTGCCTTTATGGAAGAGTTCCGCCTCCGTAAATCAGTTTTTAGGCATTAGTCGATTTTACGAGACGATTAATTGTGACCGTCTCTGTAAATGAAAACGTCCGCCTCCGAAAATCATCAAGCATTTTTCAAGGCGGTTGGATTTTGTGACCGCCTCCTTAATATTTGGGCAGTGTCTCGTAAAATTATTTTTGTAGTAGTGTAAGAGCATCTCCAAGAGTTCCTAAAACCGTGTCCCATTCTATGATTTTTTAGCAAGATTGGAAAAAACTCATCTCCAACAATTCCCAATCCTACTACATCCCAATCTTTTGGCACCTGAAAAAAATCACCCCCACACACGTAAAGATCTACGGACTCCGCGTCGTGTGCCGTCGAGGACGAAGATGATGGTCGAGCCCAACACCGGAATTGTCGGTGCTCTTATTTGCTTGTAGGTTTGTCGTTCGTTCTCGTAGCATATACTCTAGTACAGGGCTCCTAATAAAGACGGATATCCCTGCACAGCGCTAGCATAGTAGTCGATAGCGTAGACATGGTGTCTAGGATAGAGACTACCATCATTTGCCTTGTGCCTCATGGTTGAGGGGGTAGGCGGCAGGTGGTGACAGCCCTCTCCGTCCCTTCTAATCCCCCACGTTCGGGTTCGGCATAGAGCTACAGGCCGGCATCTCTTGGCAGACTAGGTGATCTCCGGTGCCTAAAGTAAGCAAGCAGAAGTAGAGTTTATCTATCCTAGTCCCTAAAACAATAGGAATCCATCTCTACACTCGCCAATTCTCTCCTTGTGTTGTCCTTGGACAAACCATAGAAGAATATATCCATTCCCTATGGAAAATACGATACCCTCAATACTTTCGGGTGAAGTGCTAAAACAGTAATTCCGTGCGCTTGCGGATTATTTCTGTTTGCGTTAAGAAATGCCAAAAATATACAGTCGCCCCAGTCATGAGGATGATCTATTCGCATGCGTCCAGAAGCCCGATGAGTCTCTTCGGGATTTTATCTGCAGGTTCAGCGATATCCGCAACGCAATCCCCGACATGATCGAAGACTGGGTGATTTTGGCCTTCAAACAAGGCTGCAAGGACGAAAGAACAGCAGCGAAAATTGGCCACCAAAAACCCAAAAATAGTGGCTGAGCTGTACGAGATCCTCCCGCAGTGTGGATCTCAACAGCAATAGAACTAGACAACTACATACTGAGAAAACCTAGAGAATGACACCTGGAGAGATGGGCTGGTTATGAGCTTATCCTCTTATTTATAGAGATATTACCCAACCCCTAAATCAAAAGGACTATCTCCTAAATCATTTTTATATTAATTGAAATCAAACAATAATTTGTTTTTTGAACTTATTAGCTTATTTAAAATATTAATTTTAAAAAACGAAGGGAGTGAACCTCCTAGTAGGTCACACAACGAATGTTACTAAGCACATGGTAGGTTGAAGTTGCAGCCATTATCTTTGTTCCTAGGGTACGCACCAAAGGTAGCTAGTACTAAACTCCAAGGTCACACCAATCTGACTGCTCAGCAGCATTTGTTATGACCAACTTACAGCCCTTCCATTGTCCTGTATCTAGTATATAGTACAAAACCAAACAACAATTATTGTACAAACCTAATCTACTTAAAAACGGGATTGGTTTCTTGATCACCAGTACAATAGATATATACTAGTGCTAAACTCCAAAGAGGTCACACCAATCCGACACAGCATTTAGTTTGTTTTGTGAATTTTTGAAGTGCATTATTGTCTGGTCATCTCGTCCAGTTTAAGACTAAGTATATGTAGGTCAATTATAAGGCAAACCAACAGAAGAAGACGTTTGTTATTGTATTGGTGAAGCTCTTGTTGCCGTATTGTTTGGGTGTAGCTGGTGGACAAATTTGTCTTGTGGTTCAAAGCAAAGCTGGCGATAAATAAATAACTGTAAAGAAGAGTTGGTGGCAGTGCACCATCGTTGTACATATACCCATTGACCGCATGGTGCAATCAGAGCAAACTTGATCAGTAACAAAGAAAAAATGTTACCAAGAAATTTAATTGCGCCTGATGCCGGCTCTCGCTGATAGGCGCTTTTGCATATATATCACCACAACTAGACGAGTTGATGATGGATTTGCAGTACTAGTTTGCAGGGCGAGTGCGTGGCAAAAATGATTGGGCTTGCTTATCCATACCGATGATGCCAAGAGGTATACGTTGCGCATGAGATTTCTTTTTTCCTGTGTCAGCCTGAGTCCAGGGCCACAGAGAGTCCAAGCTACAGGGTGCCTTGGCACAGCATGACTATTGCTCTGCTTTCTTTCTGCTGTGATCTACTTCCTCTTTGATCTGTTCATATATACACGATGCACAGCTTTTCCCATGCTTCAAAGTATTATTGGTGTTGTGCGTAAGAAACGGCACAGGATATGGTGCTGCTGCGGAGATAGGAAAAGTAGTGGACAACCCCATAATAATCGACATGATATCGTGTTTGGGCATCGACATCAAGAATGATTTGCCTAATTTCAGGAACGTCGATCAGGATGAGCCTACCATGTCTGCTCGCTTTCTGTTATTGTTGTACTACAAAAAGATTTCATCACCACATGTTCAGTTCATTATAAAATCCAGGACCTCAGGTCCATTACTTGAACAAATATACATAGGCCCATTACATAAAAAAAAATTGTTATGCAGTGAAGAAATATACACATGCCCAGGACAACAAGAGCATCGCCAGGCTTTCCAGCACCTTGGTCTCCGGTTAACATCATTTGGCAGCATGTCATCGGGAGGCTTTCATCGACAACCTGCGTGTCACCAGGAATGATCGATAGCCGGAGTAAAAGCAATGGAGCAAACAGAGTATGTGTATTGTGTGCCAGATACAGGTGAGCTTCATCTACCGATCGGATCTGACTCCTACTGGCCACTGCAAGCTAGCACCATGCGGCTCTGCCATAAGCAAGGATCCCTGCATGCAACAACTAATTATACACTATCAATGCTGATGCTGCTGTCGAGTGGAGCATTCCTGAACACATCATACAACATCGTTCCACAAACAAAGGAGTAACAGCATCACACGGTTACTCAGTTAATTACTTCCTGAATCCTGATGCTGCTGTCGAGTACGTGGAGCATTCCTGAACACATTATACAACATCGTTCAACAACCAAAGGAGTATCTACCGCCCAGCAAGGGTTGACCAAGTGGAGCAACTTGCCTCTGCCACTCTCTACCTAGGAGGACTTGATTCCTTTGAGCAACAGTTTCTGTGAGCTGCTGTCTTCCAAGGTAGGCCACGATATATATACAAAGGAGCCTAGGCCCATAAGCAAGAACCTGAGCATGATGGCCCGGATCTTTTTTCAAGCTGTGCGAAGCACGCGTGAGCTGTGGTGGCGTCGCCCATCCCCAGTTGCCCTCCACCTCACTGTTGTTAACATTTTGCAGATTGATCTTCTCCGTTACATTTTCGTTAGCATGCAAAGAAGGCAAAGTAGCAAGGGGATATGGTGCTTGCAAGGGTTGGAAAAGCGGAACGACAAATATGAAGCTTTTCTTTAAAAGTCCTTACATAGATGATTTTTTCATCAATTCAAACATCAATTAATAAAAATACAAAAGTTTCCTCTTTTGAGACATTGGTTTGACCTGCTTTTCCATCTGCCACTCTCAACCTCCTTCCTCTCCCCTTTTTTCGCTCTTCCGACCCGCCACCGCCGCTCCTCACCAAATCCCTACCCGCCGCCGCCCCTCTATCTCGCTGTCCTCCCATCAGGTAGCAAGCAGGGATGACCGGCAAGGGCGAGGACCCGGCTATTATCGGGATCAACCTCGGTACCACCAACTCGTGTTTCGGCGTCTGGCAGCACGATCACGTCGAGATCATCGCCAGCCACCAGGGCAACCGCACCACCCTGTCCTACGCCGCCTTCACCGACTCCGAGCACCTCATTGGTGATGGCGCCAAGAACCAAGTCGCCTGAACCCCATCAACGCGGGTAGCATTGAGAACTGACTTCAGTGAGCTGACCCAGACTCCTCTCCGGCAGTCCGGCCACCTGCGTTGTACTGAACTCCTGATGGTCCCTACTCTGCTGCTTGTTGGGTTAGATTAGATCTGGCGATTTTGGCTCCTGTTCTAGCACAGCCTGTATTGATTTTTGCCGTACGCCAGTGCAAAGTTCTTGATTTCTCAAGGGATCCCTGCGATGCCGTTTATCACTTTGAGTACCTTCGACGGATCTGTTGCTGGTTGCTAGTTATTTCGCTCAGAGCTACTGAATCTACGCACCTGCTTAGTTCAGTTGACTGCTGTTGGGATGGTTGACATCAGGTTGACTCTTGTTTCTCTTATGTGTGAACTTAATTGGTAGCAGAAAGGATATTATTCTTTTATTATACTTCGATTGCCACACAATTTGCGTGCATGTGCCCTGTCATTAGGCTGTTGTGTATGAGCCATAGAAAAAAACTTTTTTTATTGAACGGTGGAATGGAGGATACTATATCCATAACACGCGTCTGCATCTCTGATAATCATCCAAGTACATCATGCACTACCATCTGATCTTCCTTAACAAAAAAATCTCCTTTCTGTATGTTTTCTTTTTTTAATCAAACGGAGATGAAGCTATCCAACAGTTAACTGAATTTCAATGACTTTCCCCTTTTTAGAGTTTGTTTCCTTGCAGTGTTTATTGTGCAACCTGTGATGTAAATGTACCCATTCGCTGAGAATTAGTGATTATTATTATTCAATTCAAAACACAATGACCATCTTTTTGCTGAGGTTGCGTGCTTTTACTGAATGCATTGTTTTAATACATGAAGAAGCATTAGAGATTCTTGCAATGCCGTTTGGTATCTGACACAAGGCTTTTTTTTAGCTATATGCGGCATGAAATATGGCAAATAGCTAGGAGGAACGGATTTTGTGACATTGGTTGCTCCTTAATTAGCCTCCAGTTACTCATTTATAGCAGTTTACATGCCAACATTACCCTTTTAGGTTTGTGTAAACCTATCCTGGTGCTTTATTTTGTTGGTTCTAGACTAGTTATCCACTTCTGCAGTTGATCTAATCATTGGGCAGCTGTATGCTCATTCAAGTGTGTGTCGTTCTAGCTATTGCCTTCAGTTGTGAGCTTAACATTATCATTAGTTCTTGAATGACAAGTTTGTAGTCCACATGATTTAAATGAATGTTACCCCCTACCATTTGTAGAATAGTTATCCACTTCTGAATGTATTATACTTTTAATAGACAGTTACTAGCCCTTGTATTAGCATTATATGTGATTTTACTTCCCTGTAGGAAGCCTATACTGATTTGTATTGGTGATTTTCTTTATTAGATTAGAAACATATCATTTATGTGTACAAAAATTATACTGCAATTACTGACACATAATATCCTTTCTACAGATGCCTAGCATCTCGATGGCAGGAGATTTACGGATGCTTCTGTACAGACTACGTACAGAGCGACTTTAAGCTCTGGCTCTTCAAGGTTATTTAGGGGCCACGATTGTTGTTCAGTACAGGGGCGAGGAGAAGAAGTTCGCTGCAGAAGAGATATGTCCTCTATGGTTCTCAACTCCTCATCAAGATGAGGGAGATTGCTGAAGGTTACATTGTTGACACTATCAAGATTCAAGAACGCCATGATGCCACCAAGGATGCTGGGGTAATTGCTGATATAAATGTTATGCATTTTATCAATGAGCTGACCGCTGCTGCTATTGCATATGGTCTTGACAAGAAGGCTACCAGCGTTGGTGAGAAGAATGTTCTTATATTTGACCTTGGCAAGGTTTTTAATTTCGGTATCGCCAAAATTTCGGCCACCACCGAAATTACCGAATTTCGCGAAATTCGACCGAAATTTCGCCGAAATTTTTTTAGAGATTAGCACATGAAGTATGTTTTTTCTAAAAAAATTTGGATCTAAACAAATATTAGTATGATTTATGACTACATATCTATTAAATAGAAGAATATGCAATATAAACAATAGAAAAATATAAGATTAGAGTTATATAGCACATGTATTAGTGTATTAAAAATTTTCGGAGTTTTCTTTCGGCCACCACCGAAATTACCGAATTTCGTGAAATTTGGCCGAAATTTCGCCGAAATTTTGAACCCTGACCTTGGAGGCGGTACTTTTCATGTCTCTCTTCTCACCATTGAGGAGGGTATCTTTGAGGTCAAGGCCACAGCTGGTGACACTCACCTTGGTGGTGAGCTATATCCTGTTGCCTATGATGCTGCTGTCCAGGCTGCCATCTTGAGTGGTGAGGGCTATGAGAAGGTTCTGGACTTCCTGCTGTTGAATGTTACTCCACTTTCTCTTGGTCTGGACACGGCTGGAGGTGTCATGACCTTTCTGATCCCGAGGTACACTACCATCCCCAGCAAGAAGGAGCAGGTATTCTCCACCTATTCAGACAACCAACCTGGTGTCCTTATCCAGGTTGATGAGGGTGAGAGGACAGGACCTGGGACCACAACTTGCTCGGCAAGTTTGAGCTCTCTGGCATCCCTCCCGCACCCAGCCAGGGGTGTTTCTCAGATCACAGTTTGTTTTGACATTGATGCGATTCTATCTTGAACGTCTCTGCTGAGGACAAGACGACTGGCCAGAAGAACAAGATCACTATCACAAACGACAAGGGCAGGCTGAGCAAGGAGATTGAAAAGATGGTCCATGATGCTGAGAAGTACAAGTCTGAAGTTGAGCACAAGAAGAAGGTCGAGTCCAGGAACGCTCTGGAGAACTATGCGTCTATGCTTACAACATGTGCAACACCATTAAGGATTAGAAGATCTCCTCCAAGCTCGACGCAGCTGACAAGAAGAAGATTGAGGACGCAGTTGATGGCACCATCCAGTGGCTTGATGGCAACCAGCTTGCTGAGGCTGACGAGTTTGAGGACAAGATGAAGGAGCTCGAGGGCATCTGCAACCATATCATTGCCAAGATGTACCAGGGTGCTGGTGTTGACATGGCCTGTGGCTTGGACGAGGATGCACCATCTAGAGGTAGTGGCGCTGGCCCAATGACTGAGGAGGTAGACTAAGTGTGAAGAACAATTGTTGGTGTTTTCAGGTAGCCTGCATTATATCTTTTGTTATGCTAGTGGTTCATTCTTGGATGTCTTTTCTTATGCTAGTGGTTAATTCTTGGATTGTAGCGCTACCCTTATTATAGCTCTGTCTTTGATGGCTTTAAGCTAAATCTGTTGCGGATGTCTAGGACATATCCTGTCTAAATTGATATGATGGGCTAGTTAATTGTAACTTCTCTGCATGCTCATTTCATCTTATTACATTCTTATTCATTCCTGTGTGATTTCCCTGGTTTTGAATGGCTTCGTCGTTTTGTGTTGCCTGCTATTTCACTGAGTGAATTCTAACCAGGTTAATGCCCTTCTTGTGTCTGTTTTGTCATTTTTCTCCATGACAATGTTAAACTCCTGCTTCTGTGTGCTTATTAGCACAATTGTCCAGCAGGGGAATGCATTCTCTACAAAGATGGTGCAATTCCTGTGTTTTCTTCTGAAGCCAAAAATCTACGTCTACTAATTCATTGAACATCGTGATTGTGTGCTTCACAGTATGTGATCGCATATCTATTTCTTCTACAGTTACTCTATTGCTCCATTGCGTGCTGATTTGTTAAATATACTGTCTGAATCAATATGATGGACTATTGAGATAATTATTTGTCAGAGTTTTGCTTCTTTCATTCATGCACACAATTCTGTGCTTATGCCGGATTTGACCACCGGGCACTGCCTGTGTTCCTTTCCCTAATTGTAGTCAAGTTTCATGGTTTGACCCTGTCATTCCCAAGGTTTCATCAGCATTGTTATCTGGTGTAAAGTTCATGAGCTATGATGTAATCTTCTATGCATTTCTTGTAGCCTTAACAGCTTTGGTAATGGACTAATGGTAATGGTTCAGTGCCAGTCCATCTTGGTGGAAACCTGTTTTTTTTTTTTTTTGTTGCTGTTGAATTTTACTATTTTATTCATATACTGCATTGAAAGTATTGACAACTCCAAAACAATTCTCCAGCCAGGATCATGCCACCTCAACATATATTGCTTAGCAACTAACACTTAAGATACTGAGTCTTAGATTTACATCCGAATTGTCTTGAAGAAATCAAACTATGTGCAACTCAGGCAAATTAGTTTACAAATATAGGAGACAATAAACATACATATGCGAGATTCCAAGAGGGAAAATGTGTTCAAAAACACATTTTTTTCTAGGACAACAACTGATTGTTGACAATTGTGGATGTCCTCTCGTCAGGTTGTGTCAACACTCAGTTTAATCGCCATATCGAACGATGCCTGGCTGTGCGTGTCTGTGGTGGAATGAAAGCTTTTCCTCATGCTATTCACACAAGTATTTGATCGTATCAGTGATTTATGCATGGAGGTTAGACAACTCTGTAATGCATGTAACGAACTGGAGTACAAGCAACAGCTACGAGCCCAGTGAAAATAATGCAAATTATTACCTGTATGCATGAGCTACCTTCGATGCAGCTTGTATTGCGCTCTGTTGCTGTTGTTGGAAACCACCGCCTATTTGCTCTGCCTCCCTCACAAAGCAGAGGGCCTTCATATATTGGTGCAGTGCATGCGACAGAAGCAGAGGACACATTTATTGTTGCCACGAGATTAGAGGAGAGGAAAACTCCATAATCGCCATTATATTGAGGAGGCTGAGTAAGATCGACCAACAATAACGATTGGGGTGCCTGATTTCATTATCATCAATCAGGTCAGAATACAATGTTCTTACTGCATGTCTGCTTTCATCACCACACATTCGGTCCATTACAAGATTCACGAGTACTTCAGGCCCATTACTTGTGCAAATATATATAGGTCCATTACTTCAAAAAATATATATGGAGTGTACAAATATACATGGTCAAGACTACAAGAGTGCAGGAGATGGTATCCGTAACCATGATTTGGCAGTAGGTCGACAGTCTGCATGTGAACAGAGTATGTGTACTGCGTGCCGGAGACGAGCTTCTACCAAGCACATCTCAATCCCACTTGCCAGTGCAAGCTAACATCATGTGTCTGCCATAAGGATCCTAGATGCCTGCATACATTAGTTACACGGTCACTTCATAATGACACTTGAAAATACGTATTAAGTGAGAGAAAAAATATACACTACAGGAAACAGGGGCTTTGCCGAGTGTTTCCTACTTTGCCGAGTGCCAAATATCGGGCACTCGACAAAGGTAGACTTTGCCGAGTGCCGCACTCGGCAAAGATCAACACTCGGCATATCCATCTTTGCTGAGTGCCAGGCACTCGGCAAAGTATAACACTCGGCAAAGCCTCCCTTTGCCGAGTGTCGGGCTCTCGGCAAAGCTAAACACTCGGCAAAGGCTAACCGAGGTGACGGTGGCCACCCACCGTTAGGCTTTGCCGAGTGGTCGCCGTCAGACACTCGGCAACGAATTTTTTAAAATTTTTTTAATTTTTTGTTTATTTTTTTTTGCCGAGTGCCCTGTCTCTGGCACTCGGCAAAGATTTTTTTATTTTTTTTTGTTTATTTTCTTTGCCGAGTGCCCTGTCTCTGGCATTCGGCAAAGACCTCCTTTGCCGAGTGCTGCGTCTGGCACTCGGCAAAGAATTTTTTTATTTTTTTTATTTTTGCTCCTAGATTTTTTCTTTAGGGTTTATACAGTGCTTTAAAGTACATGTTAAAATTTGGTTGAATTTTGTGACTTTTTACTATATTTTAGAATTATTTTTGTTTTGTTGATTTATTTCGCAAAAAGCAAGTTTGAACTGCAAGTGCATCGAATAATGAAATCTAATCATTCAAAAAATGATTGTCACGCTAGTGAGTGTGTTTTAAGGCCATATCCAGGAACTTGCGGGATATTTTTCACATCTTGTTAACGAAACACGAGGACAAAGTTGCGGCCAAAATATTTTTAAATTGTATAAAATTCAAACGAATTCAGAAAATCACGAAACTTGTGGATGCATCATTATATAGCATGTGGAGCCTATGGTAAAAATTTGAAAAAGTTTCGTGCACGTTGTCACGTACGGTGCTTAGAAACCAGGACATCTCCACATGTGACCACCTTGGCCAGCGCCGCCTATGCCATACGCCTTGCTCTCGGCGCCCGCCCGCCCTTGCCACACGCCCACAATGGCCCTAACGCATGTGGGCGCTTGCCATTGCTACTCGCAGCCACCACACCACGCCGGCCTTGCCCATGCCCCCGGCGCTTCGCTTCATGTCGCCACAGACGCTGCCTACGCCTTGCCTGACACTGCATCAAGCCCGCCCGACCCTCCCCGCCCGATTTGTGTCGCGCGCGTCGTCGTCCCTGCTTCATTGACGCGATCGGCGACCGAGAGCGCCAGACCGCCCTGGCCGCGCCCGCCCGCTCCCCCCCGCCACGCCCCATCGCGACGGCCGGAGAAGGAGGAAGAAGGGGAGAGGAAGGAGAAAGGAGAGGATGGAGGAAGGAGGAAGGAGGAAGGAGGTTGCCTTCCTGTTCCGTTCCCGGCGCCATCTTCCCCGTGTTCCCGTCTCGTCGACGCCTCTGCCGCCAAGGTATAATGATGTGCCATTGTGATTGTCGGCCTTTGAGCCGTTGTGATTGTCGGCCTTTGAGCCGTTGTGATTGTCGGCCTTCGAGCCGTTGTGATTGTCGGCCTTTGAGCCGTTGTGATTATCGGCCTTCGTGCCGTTGTTTTTTGCAGGTTTTGGAAACCTCCCCGTGCAGGGGAGGTGCTGCCAAAATTTAGAATTGACCAAAATCTATTTGTTTTTCATGCAGGTGAAGGAATTGTCTGAGCGGAGCCGGAGCGCCTTGGCTACACCGATCGTCTTCCTCGGTGTTGCGGGTCTGCCTGCACCACGTCGCCTCGCCACTGCACCGACTCGCCACCGCCCCGCTAGCCTGACTCCACCGACACCCTAGGTATAACCCGTCTTTTGCGTACCTTGGTCGTAGATCGTGTAACCAAGTTAGGCGTCTCCCGTCCGAAAGAGATACGGTTGGTGGTATGCATATCTTTGCATATCTACGGCCGTATCTTTTTCAGATTGTCCACGTTATTTGGACAGCCCGCGGATGCGTAGATGTGTTTAGTTTCCATGGTCCGCTCCGATCCGAGACAGGGTTTCGGCATTACCTCCCCATTGTTCTCCGGATACACACTCTCCCTGCCAGGACGTGTATCGGGAGAACAACGGGAGGTGCTTGCCAAAGTATGTCTCAGGATAGGAGCGAACCATGGTAACTAACCTCATCTACGCATCCGTGGTGGGATTAGGACCTATCCTCACCTATTAGGCGTTATGAAAGTCGTGTAGATGTAGTTGATGGTTGCATTACTCATTTGGCATTTTAGAGGATGGATGACCATCGATTGGATGTACAATTTGGAAAAGTCACATGGAGTACACAGATGAATGGTTTCGCAAGATTGAGGCTTTTTTGAACAAGGCATTTGGCAAGGCTTCATCATCACATCTGCTAGAGCCGTGTCCCTGCTCCAAATGTGCAAACAGGAGAAGGATAAACATGGTCGACATGGGTAAACATCTTGTGAAGAATGGATATATGCCGGGCTACACCCGGTGGATCTACCATGGTGAAGCCCATCATACGAGAGAGGAGGTGGTGAGACCACATGTCGAAGCTTTTGATGATGATGCCGGTGTACCAGACTTGTTAGATGATGTTCACCAAGCACTTGGTGTTGACGAACGCGAGGAGGAGATGGAGGCAGCCACAAAGGCTTTCTACGAGATGATGAACTCTGCTCAGAAGCCCCTTTACGATCGGTCCTCAGTGTCTGAACTTGACGCCATTGGATGCTTGATGGCGTTGAAGTCCGAGTTAAACATCAGTCGAGACAGCTTTGATAAGATGTTGATCGTGATTGGCACCCTGCTTCCGGAGGGCCACATTCTGCCAAAGAGCATGTACGATTCACAGAAGCTCCTTCGGGCACTTAAGATGCCGTATGAGCAGATACATGCTTGTCCGAAGGGGTGCGTCCTATTC